CCCTTGGGACCAATTGTCAGGTTCTTGGTGCCATTTGTCAGGCTCTTGGGACCATTGGTCATGCCCTTGAGGCCATTCGCCACTGTGCCATTCGTCATGCCCTTCGGACCAATTGTCTTGGGACCATGCACCTTGCGACCATGTACCAGTGCCACCATCACGGGGTACAAAGAAGCCTCCATGGTCAGTCGCCTGAGGTTTCGACAATGCTTGTCATCATCATCAAACTTTGCTTAGGGGCTAACATGTCACCCAAAGAGATGTGAGAGGCTGTTGAACTCTATTTCTGCCAAGTCTCAAAAGGCTGAGTTCTCCGCCATGGGTACTGGGCAGGATCTCCATAATGCTCTCAGCCCCACTGCTGACGATGATCCTGGTTGTAGTAAGAACCTGCTCAATGAGGCATGGCCATGAACATCAATGACTGGCACCTTTAAATAAATAAGAAATGAACAACAGCCATGATCATTGTCATTCAAGTCACTCTTCTGGTCAGATTGTCCCCATTCGCCCCATTCATCGTCGTCGTCTTCCTCACCGGGCTCAAAGTCTTCAACGTCATGCCATGAAGCCTTCCCCTTGCCACCATCCTTCCCCTTGCCGCCTTCTGATTCTTCATGGTCCGTTCCCTTGGCTTTAGACTTGCCCTTGAAGTCATCCTTCCCCTTCTGGAGGTCATCCTTCCCCTTCTGGAAGTCATCCTTCCCCTTCCCCTTCTGGAAGTCATCCTTCCCCTTCTGAAAGTCATCCTTCCCCTTCCCCTTCTGGAAGTCAACCTTCCCCATCTCCTTGCCACCATCCTTCCCCTTCTGGAAGTCATCCATCGCCTTGCCTTTGCCCTTTGAGTCAAACTCAAAACCAGGCTTGCCCTTTCCCTTGTCTTCTTCATAGTCCGTTTCCTTGCCCTTCCCTTAGGTGCAGCCTTACCCTTGAAGTCGTCCTTCCCCTTCTGGAAATCCTCCTTCCCCTGCCCCTTCATGCCCTTGAAGTCATCCTTGCTTTTGCCCTTTGAGTCAAGCTCATGCTTGCCCTTAGGTGCAGCCTTGCCCTTGGTGTCTGGGCTATCCCCCCCCTTGCCCTTGGCCTTTGGGGTATCTCCCTCCGCATTGCCAGCCTTTCCTCCGTCCTTGATGTCAGTGTCAGCCTTGGTCTGAGCCGCCGTTTCTTCTTCCGGAATCATACCATCTGCAGGCGATGTTGGTGACACAATTTGAGGCCTCTCTTCTGGCAGGTCAGGCTCCTCCTCCTCCTGCTCCTCGCACGGAGCCGGCTCAGCCTGGTCAGGCTTTTCTTGATCGCCCTGATTCTCCCAAGCAGAAGCCTCCCACGCCGAGGAGGGTAAGTCTTGTTGTTCTTCCGCAGCTGCTGTGGGAGAGGGAGAGTACTCGTCAGGCGGGACCTTGAACGCCACTCTTTGTGTCTTGGTCGGGGCTTCCTGCCGACAGTCATGCTCACTCTGACTCTCCAATGAAGGCAAAGGTGGTGGGCTGTGAAGCACATGGTCAGACCGGGCATGCCAGGGATGCCTAACTTCAAAGACAAATGTTCCTCTCAGTTTTGGAGGGGTGGCACGCAAAGGAGCCTTGGGATACTTTTTGATGCAACGACCGAAGTCAGGCATCACCACCAAGGGCCCGCCGCCATCAGACACCAACCACCAATTCGAAAAAAACTCTTCACTAGGCGGTTGTCTGGGGTCAGTCGGCGTCGGCTCAGGGTCAGTCGGCATTGACTGCTGTTGAGGCACAGGTTCAGCTGCTGCTGCAGAAGCGCCAGGCCCGTCAGACCCGTCAGGCGGAGGCTGCCTGCGGCGCTTGGAGCCCGAGCCCCTGCGGTCATTCCTCGTCATGTAGTCAGGCACTGCTCCATAAGTCTTCTCCTTGCAACCTTAAGCAGCACGCTGACTCCGACAATTTGTCAGCTTGATTTTTATAATTAATGGTTTTATCAATCATATCACACATTTTTGAAGTGAAGACAAAGCAATAATGTCAAAAGTGAACATTAAATTAAGCCGAGCAGCGCATGCGATACTCGTCACACCTTTCCCGGCAAAACTTAGCAATGACTCTGCTGGGGTTTTGCCACACCTGCTTTGTCCCCTTGCCGCCACTCCTCCCCATCACCTCTCCTTAGAGTTGAGCGACAATGCCAGTCAATGTAGCTGATTGGGCTAAAAAGCATCATCATAAGTCTGACTAAAACAATAACTAAGTTTGTGAGGGCCAACCTCATGTCAGGCCAAGAAACTGAGAATGACAGGCACTTCCGCGCGGGTGCTAGCCAGGCTGAGATCATCCAAATGCATGACGGAATACATGGCCTGAGATGAACTTAAGTCCAACCGACAATCAGAGTCAGTAAATGACTAATAAAATTATTGACACATTTAAATTAAAAACAACTTAAAATAAGAAAATGTTCCAAATGCTGCAAATTGTCAGTCCATGCAAAGTAATCAACTTTCAACTGTTGCAAAGCCACATAGATGTCAGGCGCCAGTGTTTTGATGGTGTTAGCCATTGTGGTCATTGACACCTTAACAGTCAAGCAGTCAGTCAAGGAGTGAGCCATCAAGCAACCAAAAACTTTGATTGACAAAAATAAAAATCTTCATTATTGAAACATGGGCCCAGGCGCTTCCGCCTCCTCCTCGTCAAACTCTGGGACCTCATCCTCGACGTCAAATGGTGGCGCTTGAGGCGCTGGTGATGGCGACGGGCACATGCCGTTCATGACTATCATGTTGACAAAATCATGGTTGAACTTTGGCACCCAGTCAAGCATCAGCCTCTTCCTCAGCTCAGTGTTAGTAAACCCAGCCAATGCGATGGATGACTCAACACGAATAACACCTGTTCAAAATTAAAAATGTAAGGGCTGATTCATGTCAAGCTTCACACTAGAAGACAGTTCTGGGACCTCAGCAAGGTGCTTCCCGCAGGGACCATGAATGTCAACCAGCCACACTGGCTGCTTTACTAGACCGCCAACCAGAAGCGCCACAGTTTGCGAAGCGACCTTCCCAGTCTTGCCTCAATAGACAATTGAACCAAGTCTTTGTCATTGAACTCATTAAATTATTTTTAAACAACCTCTACGTCAATTAGGCTAAGGTGAAAAAACATAAACGTTGCAGTCAGCCAGCCACATGTTGGCCAAGGAGCATGTCAGGCACAGCCACCAAGGCTTGGTGCCAGCCCGACCCACTCCTGCCGATGCAATCGCCGTCAAGCCACACAGGACTCCAGCGCAAGCAGGCTTCCGGGCCATGGGGTCAGACAGGACGTCAAACAGGCACTCCGGTTCCGTCAGGCTACCTGCAGTCAGGGAGAGGAGCTCAAAGGCTACATAGTCAGGTGCGGTGCCAAAATGGCCTAAGAGTCATGCCACAAACACTATTTAAAAATTGTTAAACACGTTAAGTCAAGGAACCATAGGAGCCGTCCAGCTTGGGATTCTGGAGAAATCCTGCCACACTGTCGCTGTCAGGCCAGATCGCCTCCATGTCGTGTGTGAGAAGGACCGCCCTGCAGTCAGACGCTTCTTGCGCAATCCGTTGTGGCATCACCATCAATCCGCGAGAACCTCAATGGAGCGTTTCAGTGAGGCAATTAAGAAACTGCACATCTTCACCGACCTGGTCTGGCCCACCAAAAAAAGAGTTGAAAGGATGACTTGAATGTTCAACAGGCCACCGTCTCCATCCACTGTTGTGCTGTAGATGGCGTCAGTCCCATAGGAAATGATGAGTCCTTCTGGCCAGTCCTCACGAGTCCACATCACAGACTCAGCCGCATCGATGCCAGAGACCTCCTCCATGTCAGGCCACGTGTCAGGCCACGTGTCAGGCACCGCGAACTGGACAGTGTGTTTTTGGGAAGGGGAGTCTGTGAAGTAAGCAGTCGGTCGATATGTGAGTGAGTCAGTCAGTCCGATATGTGAGTGAGTCACTCAGTCCGATATCATGGAATGCATGCGATGTCCTGAGCCTGACAGACCTGAGCCAAAAGTTACAAAATCATGTCAGACATGAACACTCATGACGTCAATGACATGAACCTGTCAACCACCTCCTCCTCCCACCAAGCACGCCTGTCAATCACCACAATGGGGATGAAGTTGTTGAAGTCAATCTGGAAGGATCAACTCCCTCCAGTCTACCTGGCAAGTCAGGCGGGTGAACCCATCAAGGGACCATGGGGCTGCTACCGCATATCAATACTTCTGATTCCACTTTCATGTTACATACTAGAGCGCTCTAGTCAGACTCGAGTCACACCGGGCAATGTCGCCTGTCTCGTCGTACTTGTCAAGCTCTTCCGGCTCTTCCATGATCGGCAAGTCAGGCTATGACGAAGTATGACACTGAAGTGAATGGAAGTGATGACAGTCCAAGTCAGACAGTGACAATATAGCCCATGAGATATTATAATTAACTTCAGAATGATTTCAGAATGGGAAGAACGCTTATCATATGAACAGTGGTTTGAGTATGAACCATGAGGGTATGAAGGTGAAGGGTGGTTTGAGTCAGACAGTAAGTTTGAGCCAGTCTAGTCAGTCCAGTGGTGGTCAGTCCATAGTTTAACTATTAAACTTATTATATCATATAAGCCCAGCACTAGCCCAAAAAAGCAAAAAATAAAAAAATGTCCGAAAGGCCAACCCAGTTTTAGAACATTCGGACCAAGAAGCTACGAACGGGGCTCCTGGCATCGCGACTCGAACGGAGCGTCGGACACGACCTTCGGGGCTCGTGGCCTTACTACTATAGTATACGTAACAAGGTTTGCTAGCTGCTAATAATAGTCCCTAGGACTCCGAACGCCCCATCTCCTCAGGTTCGGTAGTTAGACCCCCCATGGCACCCACTCCAACCATCTTCGAAACGAAGGCAATTGGATCCTGGCGCCTACATAACGGATAACATGATTTCACACCCTCCATCGTCCCACGGTTTCACTCCGTTCCGGCATCACCGGGACGGGCTGCGCGTCCTCCTGCAAGAGCACCGCGCCCGTGGTCACACGTCCCAGCTCACGACTTTTCAAGTCCGCCTCGCCGGGGGCGAAGGGAACCGGCTGCCGGAGTTTTACGGCGGAACCCATCGGAAGGTGTTGCGAAGTAACGAACTTGGAAGAAACAATGTCGGCGTTCCAAGAGACCGTGGCGTTCGGATGCAAGGTGTTTTTTTTTTTTTTTTTATGAGGTTCACCCGACCCCAGCACCGAACCATCAAAAGAGTCTCCCTGCTCAGTTTCTCAGAGGCTGGCAGTAGATCCCAGCCGTGAATGGGGTGTGCGACGACGCCCCGTTGAACCAATTGATGGGAGGGGTGTGGTCCTCCCGAGGGACGAATCCTCTGGGTGGCAGTTGGAGTCCTGCCGGATTTAGATGGTACATCTCGTTTAAAGAAAAAGTGCTTGGTCCGGTCCATCCAAGACCCTACACCTCCAAGTACCTGCTCAGAAGGTATTTGGACCCTCCAAACCTACCCCAAACCCCTTCTCAGAAGGTACTTGGAGGTCTAGGGAGATTGTTGGAGGTTTCAAAGCGACGTCGTGACTTCATGCATCCTGTTGTATGGCTGTGTTGCTGTCCGACCGCTGTCCTGGCTAGTCATCTTATGTTGTAAGGTGACTGGGAAGGCAATTAATAGAGCCAAATCATTGCCTATAGGAAACAAGATGAATCAAGGATACAGGGAAAGCACATGAGCCATGATGATTCTACTTGTCAAGATCATGTCGCAGTCAAAACCACACATTTCCAGTCACGAAGCAATGATTGTGACATGAATTTGCAAACCAACGTTGGAGCCACGCCAAGCAGAAGGAGCAAAACAAGTAATTGGACATGTTCTCTTGCAACAAAACACATGGAATCCCAGTTGCGACTTGGACCTAGAACACGAAACCCCCGTCCGATCTATGATGTCAGGCCTGGACATGGACCCGACTTCAAACACTTCAGAAAATGGGACCTGACCCGAAAAACAAAGAGGTATATGTTTCCATATCTTCTAATTAAGGTAATTTAAGACTTTAGAGCTTCTTCAATTCATGTTCTTCTTTTCTAAAGGTCTGAGACTGCCAACCAGCTGCTTCCAAGGAATGAATCAATGGACAAGGGGCCTACTCCTTCTCGGCTGGTCTCTAGTTGACGGTCTTCGAGGGGAACACACGACACCAGTCGACGAAGCGAAACGCCGTCGACGTGGCGAAACGAAGTCGACGAAACAAGGATGCCGTCGGATCCAGACCCTCCTGGTGCCGTCAGACAGGGTAAGTGTCTGGTCGACACACATCACCATCTCAGCAGGTACTCCCTGGAATATCAGAACCTCAAAACCCGGGTTTCTTAAGGAAGCTCGTCTTCCAGTCCGTTGCTCTTCCAACACCGGGTGTGGATCGTTGTGGATCCATAAGGGATGCGTTTTTCGGGGCTGCGTATAGGCTGCCTTCCTCCAGGTCGCGGCCTCTTCTCGGACCAAAGCGCCATTCTCGCTGATGACCCGCCACGCCGCTGGTGGAGGAGCGGTCATGGCGACGAAAACATGGCATTGGAACTATAGTAGCTTCTTGCTCCGTTCGTACGGCCAGTTTCGCCCCGGGCATCGTAGCGTTCGAACGCTCCGTTCGGTTCGCGATGCCGCTCCCAGGTTTGTTTGGTGCAATTTTTGAGCAATCAGAACCCCAACCCGGAACACATCCCAACACATCCGAACCAGCTTGGTTGCCACATGTTTCACATGGTGATGAGTGTTGAGTTGCCAGTCCTAGCCATGAACAAGGGCAAACTAAGAAGCTCTTTTCATTGGGGGCGGCCCTCAACGCTGCCCGGGCAACCCTCAAACACCTGGGAATCCTGGGACCCTGCCAGATCAGTTGGGAAAGGTGGTATTGCTCAGGTCTCACTCGGACACCGGAGTCGGATTCCAAATACCTTCAAAGTCCCATGGTCTTACTGGTCTTACCCGGTGACCCGAAGAGGACATTCCAGACTTCAGCGGGGCGTTTTTGGACTTCAGCGGGTACAGTACTATCATGTGTTTGAGGCAGATTTGCTTCCAAAGGCTGGGTTGAAGTGTCCGACCTGCGACTTGAGACTCACACGAGCGTAAGTTCACCACCATCCACCACCTGCTTGCCACGTTTTTGCACTGGCTGTTGACTCTTTCTTGGGGGTTCCTGTCATCGTTCTGTTCTGTTTGTGCCAAGCCCAATAGAAGTAAATTATGGTCGGAGTCCCAAGCCCAAAAGATTACATCATCCAGTCAAGCTACATGTCAATCCCACTCACAATTTTAAAATACGCATGAACATGTCATGTCATGTCTTAAATTCCCTACGGCTCCAACTACCTCCGTTTCGAAGATGGTTGGGGTGGGCGCCATGGGTCTAACCACCCAACCTGAGCGTATGGGCCAGGAGCCCTAGGGATTAGCGTATCATGCTGTCATGCTTCAGATCTTTCAGAAGTTGAACATGCATCTCTGCGGGACACGCGCACCGACGAAGCGGCGCGGGTGATCGAGCGTTCGAGACAACGGGTTTTGGGCGGCTGTGGAGCCGAAAAGGGGGGGTGACTTCAAGTGCATGAGCTGCACCAACGACCGCGCGTGTTCCTGGAACGCTCAAATCCACTTGGGGCGGGGAATGGAACCGCTGCCACGTTCGGCAGAATAGCACTCCTTGGAGATAGGTGCTTGGGCCCCCAAAGTGGCTGACCACGATCACTCCAGGAGCCCATGGGTTCCACCTGAATCTCTACAGCTCGCTTCGACCACTCGAGCTCTACCCAAAGGGCCATGATCGGGCGACCCCGACTGGAGAGTACAGACCCTCCTGGGCTGGAGGTCTCAAGTCCCTGTGTTGAGGTTTTCAGGGCATGGTTTTGGGCCCTCTTCAGGCAAGGGAGATCGAGTTCAGTGCCGGTGCAAGGTCCTTTCTGAAAAGCAAAGCCGGCCGTGGATTCGACTGGCCATCCATCCGGCGTCCGACGTGACCGCTACAGGACTTTCCAAGTTGAGATATGCGAAAGAGAGAACCTGCCCAGACACGCCATGGGACTATTGAAGAACGTCACATAGCTTGACCCCAATTTATGAACCTTCCATGTAGGTAACTCTTCCAGTCCCATTTGTCTGGTCTGTGCTTTGGATTCGGCAATCATGGACTCAATGACTCGTCACTTCTCTCCAGGAACTCGAGGCCCTGCGGCCCTTCCATCCGTTTTTCCCAAGGGTCGACCCAGATCCAGCGAACGGCAGGAACAACCCCTCCAACGTCTTCGGTGTCGTGACGTGTCGTGACAGGCCGACCAAAAACCTCTTCTTCACACGAAATCCAAAGTCCTGAATTGAATTCTGCTTCTTCCCTGGTCTTCACTTCGTGCCAGAGGAAGCTGGGATCCTTCAGTGACCTTTGACCCCCCTCAGGTTCCCAGGAACATCCCAGCTTTTGGGCATGGGAGGATAGGAACAGGGGGTTTCCCCCCTGTTCCTATAAGCAAGTGGGTAGGTGATCCACCCTAGGTGCTCCGTGCTTCCCCAGTGACGTCCCATCCGAACACTCCCAGCGAGTCGGGTAACCCACAAACGCGGCGTGAACGGTTCGAACCAGCGACGTCAGCAGGTCTCGTGACCGTCACGAGCCGTCGAGGGTTCCGAGACCTGAGAAGACGGCAGGTGTTGGTCTAAACTCTCTCACCGCTGCGGCGACCGCAAGGGTGGGATGTTAACTCTAAACGTCCTTATAGTTCCAATTTGATGGTTGGAACGCATAGGGATTCGAGATCAAGTGCCCTATCAGAACCAAACATCCAACGTTGGCCCGGTGAAGGAGCCTGCGGGACCCGGGCCCAAAGGACCCGGCTTGGGAAACTCCTGGCTGATGGGAAACTAGTGGTCCCCAAATAGATCTAGTGGCACAGTTTCCAATACATTTATAGCGGGGATTTACAAACTGCTTATCTATTGGGGGTCTGTATATACGGTGTGGCTTTAACCACTTCACTTCTTGAGAGATCCATCATGTTCTCGCTCAGTGTTTCACCCTCCCCTCGCACCCCCCACCTCCTTAACAATCTCTTCAAAGTGTGCAGAGATGCACAAGACGTGTTCTAAAAGTTTCCTGCCAGCGGGTGGCTCAATCGAGTGGACGCTCGTGCCACAGACTCGTGGCGCGGTTTCCGGCGTTCGGGCATGAAACGGAAAGAAACCGCGCTCGGTGTTCGCTTGTGTTCCAAAGTAATATATACTCCGAAGACCACGAAAGCACATGCCCATGTTTCTTTGAAGAAATTGGACCCTTGTCTGACCAAGCTGGGTCTTCGGAACATGACCCAACCCTGGCAACCTCATGCCGTCCATGTTAAAACCAGGTCGACGTGCTCGAGCCGACTGGGCTCGCAGACTGCAGCAAACGTGCAGCCAAACCGGTCATACGACTGGGGGCCCCAATGCATACAAAGCGAGAAGCTCCAGGGTCGATCTTGCCGTGATTTGCTGTCCAAAACCCCGGAAAACCACATGTAAATAGCATTCCTCGCAAGGAGGGTCCTGACCTATAGGAACATAAAACATAGACAAGTAGATACCCTATAAAAACATATTGAAAAGCGTTTCTGTATCTATTTGGGTGCCACCTAATCCGCAAACATCAGGTACACATGGTCTTACCATGTATCCTTGGGCACCTTGACCCCCTCACGAACTCATGCCACTTGCTAGAAAACTCAGTTTGCATGGGAACCTGTACTCAGGAACTACACGGATCACCTACTAGGACCTCCCCAAAGGAACTTTGCATTCCTTGATTCATGGATGTGCGATCAATAGAAGTCCATTGCCATTTAATGTGCCAGAAACCCGACCCTTTAACAAGACCATTTAAACACAAAAAACATCAACCTAAAATCCGCTCTGCGAACTTTCGGCCATAACATATACCTCAAAACTCCGGTGTCCAAATCCGACCGTTTTCGTTTTTCCGCACATCCCTCAAGATGTAAACCACTGGTGAATAGAACAAGGAACCCTGAAGGCAGTAGACTGAGTAATGGAACAACAAATCTACCTGGAATCTCCAAGTACTTCGGAAAGTGGATCATTTCTGGTATACGTAATGTCCCATTTTCTAGAGTACTTGACGTCGTGTCCAGGTATGGTTATTGGATGTTATAGGCACCTCTTGCGGGATGGAAAAAGATACCCTCTGTGTAAAGCCCCCTTTTTACAGACCATGCAACCGATTTGGTCCGATGATATCCCAAACCTTCGATATGTAATTACAATTAAGGAATAGTGCCCAGTCTGGAGTCTGGAGACCTATATACGTAGGGTGGTCTATTGGACACCCAAACAGCATGATCCTGGTACATTGAATTGTAAAATTGTAACAGGATCATGCTAAATCCATTAAGATAGTACAAATGGGTACTACATAGGATGTACTGTAATGGATTTAGGTATATTTATACTACATTAAGATCACCTAAATCCACTGCAACCGGGTTTCATTCCATCCCGACCACAAACCCGTTCCGCAGACCTGCCTTTCGCTGGGGTCCATGGGTGGCATCACCAGGTCGTCCTCATCGTCCAGGAGCTCCTGCGTCCACGCAAACTGACCTTGGAAGACACCCATGTGAGTGACCATGTTCCACTTCCATTGTTCCAGTGAGTCAGAGGGTAAACCCTTGTTCATAGACAAATGTTGAAGAGAGAGACACACAGACACACAAACACACCAAGAATGCTTGATTTTTTTTTGCCAACAACACTTGCATTTTGGTCAATCCATTGTTACATCCCCTGGCAAATCCCACGATGTCTCACACCTGAGGAACAAACACTTGGCGATCACAAAACATCTCAAGCACTTCATATTTTAAACACCAACATCCACGCCCAGACCTCAGGGGTGTCTAAGAATCGGCCCCTTAGAGGCTGGGATGTCCATTAACCACCCCCCCGGGCGCAGTATGGATCCACATACCCTCTTTTTGAGGTGCCGAACAGCGTCTTCGCCGTTATGAGCGCCGAGTTTCGGGTCCCAAGCAGGACTTGCAAGACCGGCGTCAACCTGCACGTTCCTCCCAAAATGAGTAAACCAACGTATAGTATTATACGACCCAGTGTCGGGGTGGTTCATGGACACCCTGTATATAACCTCTTTTCGGGGCTAATCGACACCCCTGGTCCGGGGGTCCTGGTACCTGTCATTTTTGGTCCCACGTTCCACGGTGCGACCCTTTTGTCCGTCAGGTCCAACGTAAAAACTTGAATCCTCACAAACCCCCAACCAATAAGAGAATGAGAGACCTAAACAAAGTCGGACCCGACTACGTCGCATAAGGTACGGGATGGGCGAAAAAAAGGCTGTTCAACCTCTCTTGGTTCCCTCTGCCCCGGAGCTTTTCTCCAGTCGCCGAGGGCGCCCCGCCGCCTCCCACGTCGCGCGCGAAGATCCTCGTCACCGCTGGTGATGTCGACGGCCGTGGAGCCACCGTCCAGCTCCTTGAGCGCCGACGGCGGTGCGA